ACACACACACACACACACACACACACACACACGCGTAGCCCGCAACTCACCCACACTGGCACCCAGAGAGAAAGTGGGAGAGAAAAACAGTGATAACTGTAACCCCCTCCACCCTCATCACGTGCTGATGTCAGAGCCCCACCCCTCCCCTTCTCAGGTGCTTCCACCTCAAAACACCTGCTCTTCACTGACTCCCAGGGGACCAGTCAGATGCATGATGCTGGACGGTGACGGCTGCCCACTTTCTGCAGCCGGAGTTCATACAAGGGCAACAGCTTCTCCGTGTCAGGCCACCATGCGCCGAATTCCACCTTCCTCTCCCACCACGATAAGCAGAACAAGCAAACGCACAAGTGAGAGAGAGTGCGAGATAGAGAGAGAGAAAGAGAGAGAGACGTATTCCCTGATAAGAACCTGCCTCGGACTGCCTCTAATACCCCTTTTCCACCTACGCGGAGCTGGTGTCAGTGCCTAATTTGGAACCGGTTCCGTGCCAATTGACTGGTGCCGTGTCTGAAAAACTGGAAAAACACCAGAGAATGTCCAGTCTGTAACCGAACCGTCACCTTGGCGTGTGCGGAGGGGTCACAGTGTTTTTTGACTTTGGTTACTGGGATTAGGGCTCACGGCAAACGCTCACGTAGCAGATGCACGTTGCAGGAGGGCCCGCTGATCTGTATCCATTGCTGGCAGCCAGTCTGCAAAGTCAGACTCATATCTGGGGTCTCATGCAAGAAGCCTAATGGCATTAATCTTATTCCATTATAAACAGAAGATTTATTTGATTATACTGCCACATACACGAAAATGCATGCAAATGAGTGTGCAGACATGTCTCAAATTGAAAATGTCAAAATGCAGCAAATAGTTACAAACATTAATTGATTTTGCAATGTAACTAGCTGATGTTTTGTGAAAAAGAAAAAAAAAAAAAAACGGCATTAGTCAAAACATTCTAAGCAGCAGCACTTAAGTGAGTATTAGCCTAAACATTTTCAGAATATGCTACACACCCGTCGCTGTGTTGTAAATGTTGTTTTTAACCAGTGAACCAGTTAATTTCTCACGTGGTGAGACTTTGGCACTGAGAACCAGCTCCCTTGGCGGAAAAGAGGTGTCAGAGTGCACGCCCATCCTGTCTGAGGCCTAGCGCCCCCTATGCACTCGCAGAGGGGTGTGACTTCAACGCCCCACCTCCTCCTGGGTCGCCCCACCTCCTCCTGGGTCGCCCCACCTCCTCCTGGGTCGCCCCACCTCCTCCTGGGTCGCCCCACCTCACATTTCGGACTCTCATCCGCTCCAAGTCCATCCTCCCCCACCACTGCCAGGTTGAGAGGAGCCTGACATTCACATGCGTCAGAGCACCTTAATCCTGCTCCTTTTATCGTGGGGGGGGAGGGGGGGGCACAGCCCTACCTCATTTATTCTCACTGGAGCAGAACAACACCCACAAAAGAGGAAATTAAGCACATGCTGCCGCTGTGGCAGTGACTGCAGAATCTTACCAGGGATTACAGCCCCCCTCCCCAAAAGTGAAGCAGGCCGGACAGGTGAGGCTGAGTGACCCCAGAAGCCGCAGAATGTCATCTGAGAGCCCAGCGGATCGAGGGCCCCCCCACTGCCTCCTCCCCCTCCCCCTCCCCACCATGTCACCTGACATACTGCCACGGCACACTGAGCAGCTCCTCATCCGACTCCGCTCTCCCAGCGACTCTGGCACAGCACAGGGACAGTGTGTTTAGTGTGGGGACACCTATAGGCACTCCGGTGAACTGCAGCCCTTCTGGGGGGGGCGTGGCCAGGACGATTCTCATAGTGACAGACACCTGGATTAATGGCTAGTTGGGTCATGAACGGAGTTACTAGTTTATACAGGAGCCAGAAACATGGATCCCAAGGTTAGTCACGAACAACAAAGAACAATGAATAACAGTTTATTAACGAACAAATAAGAACAGCAGAACCCACATGCGTTCGGAACAGGGTCCTTCAGAACATTGATACATTTAGCCGTAATAAGGACACATTAGTTAATAACGGACTCTGCCACATGAAGCCCCCTCACTAACAAGCAGCCAGCGGGACTGAGGCAGGCCAAAGGGGGAGGTGCCCCAGCCTGTCCGTATCCCAGCAGGCCGTTCTGCCAGGCAGCTGTCCAGACCTCGGGGACACAGAGCTGACCGCTCAAGGCAAGATCATCTGACTCAGCAGCTCAAACACTCACATGGGGGGATTAGTTGCACTCCGAGTCCCAGTAAGATCCTGAACCGCACACACTGTGAACCCCCCCCCGCCCCCGGAAACACACACAGGCATGTAACCTCCTTATTCCAGCAGATTTGGAGGCTGCCGGGGAACGGAGGAATGCAGGCAAAGTACAAACGAAATTGTCGCGTGAGAAAACCGAAAATACCAGTTAGAACACATCCATCATAATTAGATAAGAAACCATCACACAGTACTTCAGGCGACTGGGATAACAACACGACCAGTGTGGAGGAACTGAACATCCACCCCAACATGCAAAGCTTATAGATGTTTCTGTTCATGGGAAAACAAAAGAGGCAGAGCCTCCGCCCCCACAAACACTTTCTCCGCTTAATGACTTTAACAAATGCAGAGTGAGAGCATGTCCTACCGCTGGCCCCTGTGTGTGACGCGCTTTGGGGGGGGGCATGCATTAATTAGCGGTATTAATGTAATCAGTGGGTCTCCCTGTGTGGTGGGGAATGGCAGGCAGTGGGATACAAAATCTGTGCAGTTTGGATTGGTGTCTGGAATGACAGTACAGTTCCCCCCCCCGTTGTCTAGTTATAACATCCGCTTGGAAGCTGTAAGGAATATTATGCAACGGCTCAACAATGCCTCCGGTTTCTAAGGAAGGGCCTTTTTATAGACCCTTGGTGACGGGCAGGAAATGCGAGGGATGAAGTGGACAAAACGGATAACAGAAGAAAGTGGAACAGCGGGAGGGGTGACTTACTGTCACACTGACCGGAGTATAGAATGCAGTTCAACTGCCCACCGCTACACTGACCGGAGTATAAAATGCAGTTCAACTGCCCACCGCTACACTGACCGGAGTATAAAATGCAGTTCAACACAGGAAATCAATATTTGCGCCACCAACTGGATGCCCCATGCAACGACACCAGATTTTAGGAGATGATTACGGACCTGATGTGAAGCCAGGACAGCATGGGCGTGGTGCCGCCACCGAAGACCCAGACGGTGAAGAAGACTATGAGCAGCGTGGTGGTGAACATCATCTGGCGCGCGTAGGTGGCCGTGTCGCGGATGGCCAGGGCGAAGGCCATGGCACCTCGCAGACCTGCGGGAGGGAGAGCCCCCCCCACCCCGGCGGTCAAGGCCCGGGGCCTTTGAAGAAACTTCCAACTTAAAGGTCACACAGATCAAGCGTTTATCGGTCCTACAAAGATCTGCCCTATGAAGGCACAGCACAGCGACACTGGACACTGGACACTGGAATGGGGAGAATGGGCTACAGTGCTCTGACTGCACTGCCATAGCTGCAGTAGATGTTTTCTTCAAAACAGCCTAGGAGGCCTGATTTAGATCATAATTATGACAAAAATATGCCTTCGTACGGCAGAGAGATACATAGGCTTTTACATACATCTATACATGTCTGGATTTGTAAATACAGACGTACTGTACCAGTCAAAAATGCTTTTTTAGCTGTTATTTTGTCTAAAAAAAATGTCTTGAGGGAATGAATAAATGCCTATAGAATAATATAACAACCAAGAGAACTGTCCAACATCTTAAAATTTCCTCCAGTTTTAGACTCTTCAAAATAGCCCCTTTTTACAGCTCGATTACAGCATGAGGCCCAAGTCATCTGTCACTGCAGTCCATCTCTTTCCTCGTTCACAAGATAACACAGCACTTACATAACCTCAAGGTGTGCTTGGGGTTGTTATATTGTTGAAAAAAATATATTCTCAGTAGATGTTTCCAGAATTTCGACTGGTACTGTATAAGTCACGTATGTTTAGGTATTACAGCGTCTCAGAGACATTTTCAAACCCACACATTCACAAATATGCTCTTTGACTTTCTCTCTCGCTAAAGACTCTGTAATTCAATACTTCGGTGTGATTAATAATCCACTGCCGGCAGGCAAACACCGGAGCGGGGGGGGGACAATGAACTTAGCCGCTCTGACAGTAAGCCAGTGAAGAAAAAAAAAGGCAGTGAAATCTGCAAACGCAGGTGTACGTGGTCATGCACGCATGCAGACGTGTCTGCGCATCCTCACATGCCCGTTATGTCAGCGGCGAGGCAGGACAGAAAGAAGGTCCGACCCCCTCCCCCCACCTGCAAACATCATCATGTGCTGGAAGTTTCCGCTGATCTTGTGCCTGCGGCCAAGGTTGAGGAAGAAGGAGAGTGGGTAGATGTGACAGGCCCTTCCTATGAAGATGGCAACCTGGCAGGATGTGGTTGAGGAAAAGATCAGCGGGGGGAGGCTGAGGGAGAACCCCTTTTTTCTGAAGTGACAAACAGGGAGGGGGCGGCCTCTGACAGTCATTCTGAAAGCAGCACACTACAGCGCCCCCCAGTGGGCACGCCTGCCCTCCCAGCACATGCGGCATCCCTGCTCTCACATCCAGGCCCAAGGGCCTGATGGTGTACAGCCCCCAGCTCATCTAGGGGGGGCACAGACATCGAGGGAAGGCGGCTGTTCAGACAGAATATCAAAGCACGGCCCCCCCTGCCTCGCCTGGGATATATCTGCATGTCCTCTTTTTGACTATCTTTAAAATCCATGATTAAAGGCCAAAAAGAATTTCTGGTTTTCCAATACTCCCCCCCCCCAAGTTCATTTTACTTTAACTTGAATGAATGCTCCTTCTGAGTAGTGGACAGTAGGTGGCATACAGATTAGGAAAAGGACAGACTAGTAATCTGCAGCTGACGTCCTGCTACACTACAGCGTTCCGCAGGGTTGTGTGCTGGATGTTACATAAACCGCCGCACAGGGAGCTACGGCTTTATGCCGCTAATCGAAAGTGATCGAATAATAAGTTTCAGAGCCTCTTCAGAGCAGTCAGCGCTGAGGAAACTCCTCCGGAAGGATACAAACGCCCCTACGATGAAGATGGGGCTGAAGATGTGGTTCTGGAAGGAGAAGAGCGTCAGCCCCATGTAGGAGAAGATGAAGTTCTCCGCCAAGAAGTGCAGAACCTCAAAAAGCTGGAGAAAACACACACATGGCAGCAAATGGGGATAGTTTATCAGCTCTAAGTGGGAGTTAAGTCTGGTATTTTAAGGTCCAAGGAGCAGAGATGCTCAATCCATTATTGTTTTTAATTTATTCCTTTACCAAGTTTATCAACAGCCCAATTTCATATTCAAGCACTCCGATGGCCCACAGTCAGAGCTGGGTGTCCACTGAGGTAAAGATACTGCCCCCTGTGGTGATAATATGTATGGCGTGCTGATATCCTGAAATACCGCACATGTCCAGCAGAATTGCTCGCTCTTCTATCTCTAGCACTCCTCATGAGCAAACTGCTCAAAGCTTTACAGTGGGCTGATCTGGGACCAGCAGAGATGGCTTTTCGCAGAGCAGGGATGGTGGAGCCCCTACGATGACTGTTCTGATAATCTTGCTGTTTGTTTTGATTTACCTTTAGAGACCTTTTCCCTACTCGACCGAGATTCAGATGACCCGTACTTGCCAGACTGGTCATGTGTTTTTTTCCTCACCTGCTTGGTCCGCTTGGTGGACTCCTCTGAGAGGTTGTTGTAGGTGTAATGGGCCTGTGTGATACCACAGAACAACACAGCCACCACACCTGTGTGCAGGAAACACAGCAAAGCACGTCAGCTTAGGAGTAACACATACTCCCCCCCCCCCCCCAACCATGGGGCAGCCCCTGTAAGACACACAATGTCTGCGCTCCAAATAAAACAATCATCTGCAGAACAAGGGGGAGGTCCCCATTCTCCCGGCAAACTCCCAGCCTGCAGACTCCCCCCCCCCCCCCACTCCACTCACCGGTGAAACCGCAGGCCTCAGCTAACAGGAATGTGCTCCAGGACATGAGGAAGAAGAGGGCCGTCTCCAGCAAAGGGAAGCAGTGCAGTTTGGTGAACTTGGTGACGTGGAGAACAGTCAAGGCCAACAGGCTCTGCACTTTCATGAGAGACCATGCAAACACCGAGCCCCATGCTTATTTCGGGGGGGGGGGGGGGGGTTGAGAAACATTTAGGTACGATGTGTAGTTTCAGAAAGTCCCCCCCTCCCCCCAAGGCCTGAGGTTGGATTTTCCCATTGAAGACAAAGGAATCGAAACAAATAAAATAAGGAAGCTGTTCAGAATAGACGCTCTTTCTGACAATAACCGGTATTATTCTACTGCTATTACACACCACATCACATCATTATAACAATCACCACACTATTACACAATGACTACATTGAAGAGTCGCAGTGACCGGCGATCCTGTCTGAACCTTCACTGTGACTGAGGCCTGTTAGGTGCGGCGTATCAGAGGCTGTAATCCCCTGTTAGTATGACTGACTTTAGATACCTGCGGGTGTATCTGGCATCCCGCTTCTAAAATCCAACACGCATCTGCCCACTTTTTCTGCCTGTGTTCCCATCTCTCCAAAGATTGCTAGAGAAGCCATTGTATGGCGCACATGCCACAAGCGTAAGGAGGACAAAGACAGAAAATGACAGGATATGAGGGCGGTGACCACCCCAGTGACGGCTCCCATGGCAAAGGAACCGCTGAAGATTCCCAGGAAAACCCCCACGGACTTGAAGAAGGCAGAGGCGTCGAACGTGTGCGAGTTAGCGCCGATGGGCTGGTAGGCAACGATAGACCTGGGAGACGAGAGGTACACAAATCACATACCCCACAGCACCTTGGGCAACCGGCAACAATGTCTTTGTTAGTTTATGTGATTATTCAACATATTCATCATATGTGGATCTTAACCTCCAATGGAAGTTTCTAGCTAAAACAAAAAGCTTTCTAATTTGACCAGTAGGTGGAGCCAAACGTATTAAAATCTAGCAAGTCTGATGGATTTTGCTGCCATCTAGTGACACTTCCTTCAAACTTCAGCATGGCATAAAAGACTTAAAAAAAATAAAATAAATATATATCAAAAACGTTTTACCCCCCAACCAAGAAAGCATGATTCCTCAAGGAAGCCCTTTTGAAAACCTCAAAAAACAACAACCACCATTCAGTACTTGATACTTTAATACAGCTTATTAACGGTAACACTGCAGTCCAGGGTGGAATAAAATGTAACACTGACATAGCAGTGAAATGACAGCGGATGCTGCTCCAGCTACCAATCATCTTGACAGGGTTTATGTGCTCAGCAGCCCCCCCCCGGGACTCGGGAAGCGTACTCCCCAAACGCGAGGGACAGGCGACCCGGCTCAGCAGCCCCCCCCCGGGACTCGGGAAGCG